AATGACAGCAAATGATGCCAAATCACATAAATACAAGAAAAATATATAGTCCGAATTGGCAGTTTGGTGCATATAGAATATGAACGTATTACCCAAAATCTCGACTTTCCAGCCGGATTTCTCGGAGGATGCTCGGAATATGCTCGGGTATCGGTCGTGCGCGAGAATTCCGAAAAACACGATGGCGGACGTGCGGGGGTTTCCCAATCCTTTTATCCCCAGCGTTTCAGTTTGACTTTGATTGGAGATAGAGAGCATGTATATTTAGCAATTATTCGCCAAAGTCGAAGTGAATATCGGGGAATATTTACCGAGACGCGAGTCTTCGATCTGCGAGGTAAATATTCTCCATATTCACTGAGCTTTGGACTACCGCCACGGTAGATCAGATCCTCGTGGAAGGTGATCTACTTTATCTCAATGCCTTACAAAGCAGATCCATTTCTTTACACAGAAGTTTTATTCCCCAACTATTTGCCTAATGTGACATGTTGGTCTTCGAAGACGAACAGTAATACCTTCAACAACTACAGACGATTCGCTTATTTGGGCAGAATCACAAACTAATAATAGATATTCGCTTGTTTTTTGCGGAAAACATTTCTGAGTCACTTAATCGGGTGACAAATACTGATCTACCGATGGTGGAGAAAACCTGCAACCAGTTTTTGTTTATAAATTACAAAAATTTTTATCAAGGTAGAATCGCGTAGTGATGAATGACAACGAGACTCCATACTTGAGCTCATATTCACCTTTGCTAAATGCTTTCAGTGACAATGATCATGCACTTGTAATATTAGTAAAGATTGCTGACAGTATTTAGGTCTATTTATATCTTTGATTCTCATTCAAGCAATACTTTATGGCATGCCTGTTCCAAATGGCACTGCTGGTGTGCGGATATCTGCAGATTAGAAGAATATTTACAGTCTATTTCCCTGGAATTGAACATTGAATTATTTGAAGTTGTACAATGTTTGATATTAATAAAATAACCAATTTGAGCGTCTATATATACTGCCCCTCGAGCTCATTTACATGAACACTGTCAACTTTTAGTGGTCTGGTATTATTCATGAATGTTTTCAAGTATCTTGGTGCTGCCTGTTGGTAAAATGTGGTCTTGTATATATCCGCAGCACTTCACTTACATCATGTAACGACTAGTTTAAATATCTTGAAAGTCTATTAACAACACTCATATTATTAAAAAGGTCAAAAAGCCAGACTCATTTCATGGTGTCTTCGTTGAGTTGCATGATATATCACGAGGAAACAGGGTGGTTGTTCGAGTTGGTTGAAGGAATGAACCTCCCACAGAAACAAAGGTGCATGCACGAAAAAAGTTAATTGGTTTGCACAACTTAGTGACTTCTTCGATGAGTTCGGTTTTGGGAGTTAAGGAAGGTAGAGATTTCTAAATATTTTCAGCAAAACTATTTTATATCTGACACAGAATGAAGTCGTGATTAAATTAAATCTGACACGAGATAGACACGCCAACTTTACTTTGCCAGGTCAACTAAATGAAACACAAGAATCGTGTACTAAGTATACTAAACACGAGAATTGAAGTCAAACTTCAGTTTTTAATCAAGCCCTTTGTTTTTTCATATTCTTACAGTTTTATTCTTACACATGTGTTTATTTGTGATGCATTTTTCTTTACACTATTACTGAGTGTTGAATTAGCTTGCGAGGCCTTTTCATCTTCAAGTTATTGTTATCACTTAGTTTTTTTTATCGCGGAGAATCGGGCTCTTGTTTCTGGTGCCAGCAGATTACTAAGCGCTTACGCTGGTCTCATACTCTTCAAGCTATCGTTAGGGAAGCCCACTGCAGATGGGGTTGGGTACCAACCAGATTTCGCGTTCTTTTCTCCTCCCTCGTAGTACTTTTGGTTGTAAAGATTCCAAGATTTGTTGGGCCATATGATGAGGGATGACGCACCCTGTCCTGAATTTGGGAAATCTGCACACATGTCTGGAACGGCAGAAGTGTACACCTAGGCGAATGAAAATAAAATCCTTGATGAATACAGTATAGACGCAGTATAGTTCAAAAACTCACTACTCTCATGCAATTTACTTAAAAAAAAAAAAAAAGGGGGGGGGGGGGGGGGGGGGGGGAATTTCCCCCATTTTCCGCTTTTACTCCCGAATGTACAAGAAATTATTCAGTTCTAACAACAAAATACAGCGAGGCGAACAAGAATGAAACGGAGATCGGACAATTGGCTGAAAAATAATTGTGCATGATTGCATGTTTTCGTGATTATACCGACCTTTTCATGTCCTCCATAGTAGGAATGTGCAAACACCGTCGAGGAATCACAGCTATCTTGAAGTCTCCTGATAGACTTTACACTGAATGGCAAACTAAGTTCGCCAGTAGGCTTATCAGCAGTCACAATGTCAGAACTGCTTCCACCAGCGATGGCTTCATTGAAATCAATGCTTCTGTAAAGAATCCATTTGCCGTTCACAACCTGGTATTTCGTGAAGGTTGTCGATCCCAGGTTAGGCTTAGTAGTATCGTAGTCGTACTTCAGACCATTTGCGTCGAATAGAAGAAGATTTGATTGGGACATTTTGATATCTGTTAAAATGAAAACATTTTGTAACTTTGCTCTTCTGATTCTGCAATTGTTCTGTTCTGATTACATTGAGTTAAACTAGATACATTTACAATAGGTTTGTGGCAGATGAACTCTGTTTGGATAGTCAAGTAAAAGCATTCCTAGACTTAATATTCAGATGGAAAATGTTCGAGTGTAAATCTAAGGAACAAATATAGCATAGAAATGAAACTAGTGCTATCGAAATATAGTAAAAAAAGTAATAAAGATCATAAGGGATGTTTGTATCATAAGACTTTAATGGATAAACTAGAAATAGCTAAGCTAAAACTTAAGGGTGTGATCAAGGGGTGCAAATGTTAGAGGAGGAACTACGGAGCCTGAAACTTCTATCTAATGTTGCAGCAAGACAGAAATAGTATACTAAAGTAATTACCTAAAAAGGAATTGAATTAAGTCTTTGTGAAGCGATAAAGACACTGACAAAATGAAGCCGCAGCGACTAATATTTGCTCTAGTTTGGTAACTCGAGAAGGTTTTGCTTTTGTCTCGTTTCAACAAGACACACGCTCTCCAAAATTTTAAAGAAAAAAATTACAACTGTTTTCTGTCGATGCTGAGACTGACTTAGAAACGAAAAAACTAACAGGGTTTTCTGATGTGAATAATATATATCATGTATATAACAAGATAAATCCAAGCAATAATCCAAATGAAAAACTGATAAGCGTTACCTCAGCACCAAGGTATGTATTCTTCAATCGATAGGGCTTCCTTGCTCAAGTCAAAGTGTTTCCTACAAAGATAAGCTTCTCTTCTTTTATGTCCTCTTTCAGATGATTAATATTCATTGACCATTATTCTTAACGCGCATAATATTAATTTCAATCTTTCTAAGGGGCGTAGGCTTCGGTGTACCGTATCTGTTACGAGCATGCAGAGATTCTTATAGAGAGTGCAAAGACATCAATAGTTGAGCAAGATAGTAGTAGATAAGGAAAACACCACAAGTGGGGAATAGAAGTGAAGAGAAAATCACACTAAAAACAAAGGAAGAGAAAAAGCAACATATAAAGAAAAGCACAATTTGTTGTACTAACCAATCGAGTGTGTCACTTTTATGCTCTGTCTCGAATATTGAGTCCTCAGTGTTCCAGATATTTTTAGCTTGGAGTCGCGTACAGACAACGTATGGAAGACTGATCAGGGGGACAAAAGGTTCATGGTGGAGCTAACGCCTCTCTTTAAGATGTAACTTATTAATTCTTTATTACTCCGCGAAAAGTCGAAATTGTGGGATACTGAAATTCCATTTGATTCTGCGTCGGTATTTAAGATAAAAGAAAAGAAAAGAGAAAAGCCCTGTTTAACTCATAGTTTTCTTTCTTCAATTCTWTTGAATTGTAACGAAACCTGMCCATTCTCGCTCCCTTCCCCTCCCCTCCCCTCCCCTCCCCTCTCCGTCAAACAAAACTCAATAATTTCAACACTAGCCAACAAAGCAATCATTTAGTTATTTATGAGGCCTATGCTCCACTGAGTCAAAAGTTTCTTAAAATATCTATTTCAAAGTCCATTAACACCGGAACACATCATAAATTAAGGGGTCAAAAAGCCAAACTTTACCTCATGGTGTCTTAGTTGAGCCGCACGATATCTGCGAGTTAGCAAAGGGTGTGTCGAGTTGGTTGAAGGAATGAACCTCCAACAGGAACAACAAAGGTGGATCAGTATGAAGTTAAATGGTTTCCTGTCCAGGCTAATCAATCAGTCCATCAAACAATCAATCCATATCGATCAATGGAATAGAAGTGAAGAGAAAATCACACTAAAACCAAAGGAAAAGAAAGAGCAACATATAAAGAAAAGCACAATTTGTTGTACTAACCAATCGAGTGTGTCACTTTTATGCTCTGTCTCGAATATCGAGTCCTCAGTGTTCAAGATGTTTTTAGCTTGGAGTCGCGTACAGACAACGTATGGAAGACTGATCGGGGGGACAAAAGGTTCATGGTGGAGCTAACGCCTCTCTTTAAGATGTAACTTCGAAAAGTCGAAATTGTGGGATACTGAAATTCCATTTG